TGAAAGTCTGGAGGGAGTACACACTGGAGGTGAGGTTGAAGGAGCATCTAGGAGGAGTCGGATGAGCTTACTACGATGGTGGAGAAGGGGATGGAGGTGGGTTGTCTGAATCAAAAAGTCCGACATAAGAGCGACGGATCTTGCGCTTAAGTCCGACATAGCGACGGATCTTGCGCTTGTTGAAGAGCAGGCCGAGAGATGATTTGGAGTAGCTTTTAAGGAGAGTGCTGGAAGATGATTGGGCATCGAGGAGATGTAGCTTGAAGCGGGTTGGCTGCATCGGAGGCGGATCAGCCTCAGATTGAATGGAAGTAATCAGAGTTTCTTCAGTTGAATTTCTGCCTTAGCTTCATATTAAACTCAAGTGAAAATTAAAAAAATCACTTAACTTTTTAAATTTTTTTCCAGTGGACCTAATCACCTTCTGTACAAATTCCTTGGTCTTAATTTGTTGAGTTTCTGTCAGGAGACACAGAATCTGACTTAGTGAAGTCATTTTAATAAACACATACGCTGCATGTTCCATGCGCTGTTCTTTCTCCGCAGACACCTTTGGAGAAGCTGCATTAGGTAACCAGACTGGCTCAGAAACACTCAGTGTTCTTCTCAGTGACCTCTAAGGTGTTAGGGTTAGGGGCCTATGGGAGCGCTTAGGGTCCTATTTATGCCACTAAGAATGGAGCTTTTCTTTCAGGTCACATTCTCTCTACATTTTCCACACTGTTTAGTGGCATTAGCTAAATGTTATTGAAAACCTAGATGTCATCTGAGTCAAGATGTCTTTTGACTTAACTTCTTAGATATTAACAAATCTGAAATGCATTTGTATCTGGAGACAAACAGGAATTAGTGGATCACTGCTCTGTAGTTGCTCCTCCGCTTCATAGATTTTTTATAAAGATTCGTAGATGAAAGGCTCCACCAGTCACTGTGTTAAATAGGAGTTTGTTGACAACTTTGATATTTCATCACTTCTCTTTTTCTATCAACACGTTTTTTAACCATGTCTCATTGCCAGCCACGCTTTCATAACTCGGTTTCAAGGACGAGCATTAAAGCACGGCTGGCGCATTAAACACCAGCTTTTCATCGCCGTCTCTGCCAGAAAACGGCACCAGTGTTGGGTTACGTGGTCTGATTTACCCAGCAGGCTCAGCATTCCTCCATTTCTTCTTAAGACGGAGTCACAGAGGACAAATTAATGAAGGAATCATTTCCACATTAACCAGACTAGCTGTAGACATCAGTTAAAATACTCAAAGCAGCCCATTTTTTTAATGGATGCTTGATTTTAACATCCTCTTCACTTTGTCCATGGAAATAAATTGAGTTACTGCCTGTGATTGGCTGCATGTGTCAAATTAAAATCTCAATTTTTTTAATCAAAATTTTG